AAATTGCTGGGTTTGTCTCTATTTTACCCAGCACTGGGTTGTATTTAACCCAGCATTTTTTAGAGTGCATGAGTCTGTGTGTATTCAGGTTTAAGTCCCCACCAGAATAGAAAAACAGGTACACACACACACGCAAACAGACACATAATGCTGTGGATCTATGGCTGAAATACAAATAAATAACATAGTCATAACTAGCATTCACTCAAGACCACATGAACCATATTTATGATTCACATACATCTACACATACATGAGAAAGCAGAACTGTGTATGTTGGTGGTTTATCAATAATAACGGTTTACATTCCGTATTTATAGCTCTGTGATCTATTAAATTCATCTCTCTCGAGTTTTAAATTCAAGGGCCCTGTTAACATTCAGCCAGTGTATAAATACACAAAACACATCCCATCAGTCTTATATGAGCTTAAAGGTGAAGTGTGTGTTTTCTTCACCACAGTTTGTACCAAATTGAACTTTCAAAAATAATGACTGATTTCAAAAAGTTTCCCCACTTCCACTGGTCAGTTACACAGATGCTGCCCTAAGCTTATGCAACTGGTTAACGTTTAATTAAAAAAAAAATCAAGATAACAATATTAGTGTTTTTTTCATATTATTCTAGGATAGGAAACTGTTTAACTGTTTATTTTCATTTTTTTCTTCACATTAGCAGTTAATACAGTGCAACTTATCTTTTATAGAGAAATAACAGAAATAGTTACCTTCTTGTTCACTGTCTGAGAAAATGCTTCTGGTCAAAGACTGAGGGCCGCTGTCTGGCTCTGTCGACTCATTATTAGCATTCAGGTCACAGTCTCCGGGCTCCTGCGAATCAGTGAAGAGCTTTGATTAGACGCTTCAGCATAGAAAAACAGACCGAATCCTGGTGCTATTCAAAAATACTCACACGGGTGATAACATCAGCCTGGTCCATCTGCTCATAGTCTGGGTAGTTCTCCAGTCTGTGTAAAGATGGAAACAAATGACTATGAACTCCACAGTGAGGTGATGAGTTCATGATCACGCATGTCAGTTACAGAGCTCTTTAAATGTCTTGCTTGGAAAAAACCTAGTTATATTTAGTCTATTAATAAGGGCGTAAAACAAGCAAAGAGAATTCAGGCAGGATGGCAAAAGTTTAAGTGTATTGAAACTTTACAAGTCACACCCACACATACTATACAAGCTAACAGACTGTGACTCTGGAATCTAGGACGCTCGCTTAACCGATGCAAGGTGTAACAGGCTTACAAAAGTTTTTACAAAAACACAATTTGAAGTTTACAAGCAATTTCTAGCTAGAGATTTCTATTATTATTATTTTCCATTAAAGGAACAGAACAATTTTGTATGTTCCTTGTAAAATGTTATTTTTGGAAGCTTTCAAAATCAGTCCAGAAATATACTCCACGTGAGCACACAAACACAGACATGAATGCCTGGCCACTGCATTCAAGGTTTCACTATACATACTCGATGTGCGTTCTTGCGTGCCTGTGTTCAAGGGGGTAAAATGCCTGTGCTGTTCAAATGCTCATGCCACTAAAAATATTATTCAGGCGTGTCAGATTGAGTAGTGTGTGCTATTGTATTCACTAAACCATGATAGTAAGTTAACCTGTAAAATGACTATAAAAGATTTGTGGTAATACTTTAGTATAGGGACCAATTCTCACTATTAACTAGTTGCTTATTATCATACCTATTATTAACATAGTGGCTGTTTATTAGTACGTATAAAGCACATATTCTGCATGACTATATTCTACAGCCCTAATCCTACCCAATACCTAAACTTAACAACTACCTTACTAACTATTAATAAGCAGCAAACTAGGAGTTTATTGAGGCAAAAGTCATAGTTTATGAGAATTGGACTTTAAAATAAAGTGTGACCGTAATTGTTTATGACCCTACAATGCATGCTTTTTAAATGCAACAACGTGATATTGAAAGTAGCTAGAAGCATTTGCATTCATGTAGGCCTAAAGATGATTTTTCGTAGTAGTAGTATATTTTATTTAATGCCATGTCAGCATCTTAGGCTATTTTCATGGCAAAAACCGTTTAAAAAATACAAGTATAACAAATACAATAAAAACCAGCAAACAAACAAACACAAGTTATATTACACAAGATTTTTTACATTAACATATGATGGCAAAATTCTACTAAATAACTCTTTAAGTGAGTTCACTTTATAAAAGAGTTTTCTACATACATTAAAAGCTAGACTGTCCAATAAAATATGTCTGACAGAAAGGGGAATCTTGCAGAACATGCATCGAGTAGGGTCTTCACCTTTAAGCAAAAATGCACGAGTCGGTCTTGTATGACCTATGTGACAACTGGTAAATACCACTTGATAAAATCTAGTTTTAAAAGAGATTAAAAATCTGTTAGAAATTTCCGGATGCATTTCATGTAATTTATTATTTGTACATGTATCCCACTCTTCTTGCCACTCATTTCATATATAACGATTAATAATAGGCCTGATCTCTGAGGGAGGAATTTGACATTTGTTTACATCTTGATTAAAAGAGAAATCTGCATGAGGAAATTATGAGTGGCACAATTCCAGATGCATGGATTCCTATTGAAATGAGTGGATTTCGCCTCCAAAAAATGTGCAAACTCTTAATTGTGATCGCATATCAACGCTTTCAATCTAACCTTTCTGTGCTGAGATTCTCAGCGTCTATGAGAGTCTCCGTGTCAAGGTCCATCCCAGAACTTTCTTCCGTGACAGGGCTGCTGAGTTGAGAGCCTTGAGATTCCTGCGGGGAAAAGGAGAGTAATTACCACTGACTGTACTGACAGGTTTACAAGTGAAAAAGATAATACATTTTGGCATTGCACTGGAGATAATCCACAATGCCAAATGTTCTGAACACTCAAACACATCAAGGCCTTGTGTGTGTTTACTGATGACGGCGTCTCAAGGTCGGGAGCTGATAACATTGAGGAATGGGGTGGCTCTCTGAGGGAGGGAGTGTTTGCGTTGAGCAGGTGGCGCTGTCATTCCTCAGGGATGGCTATTAAAAGAAGGTGACCCAGTTCATATGTTCCTAACCTGTGGCCAGGCCACAAGAACTTTATGCACGTGCGTGTGGAGGGAAGAGAAGCCTCCCAAAGAGACTGTTAATCAGCGAGCCAGGACCCCAGACACGCTCGTCATTTTATTACACCTCACAGTCAAGAGATGCAAACCTTTATCATCAGCTTTGGTGACGGTTCTTCAGAACCAGCTTCATCTCATTACTTAATTAGCTACTTGAGGAAAGTGCTTTATCTGAAATGTTTCGTTCGCTCTGGCACGGTGTTAAACGGGGGAAGAGCGCTTGTGCCCGCTGAGAACAGATGATGGTCTGTTTATCTGACAGGAAGGCCCTTGTTTCTAACTCTGCTGAGGAGGAGGTATTACAGACCTTGCTGATAGCATAGAGACTAAATATGCTCAAGGACTACAGAAATGATCTAATGCAGTGGTTCTTTACCTTTCTGACTCCACTGTCCACAGCAATATTCAAAGCCCCCCTAGCCCTAGTTTTGTTTTGAAAATGTAATCTATGGGCATTCTAAAATAATTTGAATTCAAATAATTACACTTCAGGATTCCAGAAACGTTCTTCAGGGAGCAATACTCTTTTGAACCAATTAATCTACATGACTCTTCCAGTCGTTTGTGTTTTTCAGAATAAGGACTAAGGATAAAGATTTATTTATTTTTTCCTACTTGCAATTTCTATCCAATAAAATATTTCAGAGCTTAGCATAACTAGTAAGTATGTGCATTCATTAAAAATGCACATGGCTTTTTTTTTTTTTTAAAGATTTTATTAATTTACATGACTTTTACATGTCTATACCACTTTTAAAATTCGGCTGCATCATATATTCAGGTTTTCCTAGGCTGTGAGAATTCTGGTTCTCCAAAGCAAACAAAAAGTTGCAGAGGGGGTGAATTTTAATTAAAAAAAAGTTATGTTCAGTTGTTTTTAGCTTCAGCTAGGTTGAGAATCACTGGACTAATCGCTGTTCCTCTGGCTTTCTTAGCTCTGTCGTATCAAATAAATAAAATCCAGACAAGCTTAACCCTCTATTTGCTTACCTCGCTATTCTCTGATGGTAGGCCCTCCTCTGTAACCTCCGAGAGAGTCTCAGTCTCTGCCTCAGATTCAGACTGCACATCTTCATGCTCCTCAGGCCCTGCTGTCTTCTGAGCAGGGCTGTTTCTGTGGAGGAAAATACATATAGATTCACATTTCCACCAAACATTAACGTTCAAACTTCAGCTACAAGCAAATAAACACCAGGTTCAGCGTCGACAGATGTGCTGTGTGTATTGTCAAACTCACCCCTGAAAGGGCTGGGAGTCCAACACCTGACTCTCATAGCTGCCGAGCTCCTTGTCAATAGATGTCTGTAAGTCTAACAAGTGCTGTTCCACTGCAGCACGGATGCTCCTCTGGATTATACTGCAAATAAACACATTCAAGGCATCTGACACAACTATATATAAAAAAAAATATTCCTATTGAGGCCAGAACACACAGTACCCATATTTATCACAGTTCAACCTTTTTAACAAGGTCAGCCAAAGAGTTTTCAGCACAAGCTCAAAGTTCTAACAAATAACCCTCCATTCTGAGTATCACAGATTCTTATGTCTGAAAATAGAAGTGTTTTGAGCGCACTAGACCTTCAGTATTACAACACCCAAGTCTCTGATGTGTCCTGCACTGAGGCTCTGGCTATGCTGAAGTCATAAGAACAATGGACCCCCAGCATGCCTTCCTAACCAACCTCCACGTGCCCATCTGGGCCAAAAGGCTCATTGAGTCACGCCGCCTCTGTGTGTGCCAAAATTCCAGCAATAAATCATTAGAGGATGGTGTTGTTTGTGCTGTGCACCTAAGTGCAGCAGAATTTCATGGCCAGATGCACTAGTTTTGCCTGAAGCCGCTGTTCGGTTACAGATATTTTAATGCATTTTCTGGTCCAAGGCCATTTCAAAATTGGATAATATTCTTCCTGCTGCCACAATACGCTGCTGATAGTCAAGGCTTCAGCTGAAAAGCCATTCGCTAGTAGGAAACTAAAAGCTGAATGTCATTTTTTCACTGTTCTTTATGTAATGTTTAGAGCTGAATGTTCTTCAGTGAGCCATACTCTTTTAAACCAATTAATCTACATGCCTCTTCCAGTTGTTTGTGTTTTACAGGATAAGGACTAAGGATACAGATTTCATTTTTTCTTACTTGCAATTTCTACGCAATAAAACCTTTTCACATCTAGAAATCACACTTTTAAAATAAGGCTACATGATATATTCAAGTTTTCCAAGGCTTTGAGAATTTTGGTTCCTCAAAGCAAACAAAAAGTTTTTGACGTCAAAGCGTCAAATGATTTCCTGATTTCTAGGATAAGCATTTATAAAAAGAAACGACCACCGAATCAGACCAAAAACATTTTCAGTTGTTTTTCTGGTCTAATTAATTACTGGTCTAATAGCTGTTCCTCTAGTTTTCTTAGTTCTGTCATATCAAATAAATAAAATCCAGACAAGCTTAACCCTCTATTTGCAGGTGGGTTTCTTTCATTATGAACACAATTAGCGGAATGTCAGCAACATTGCAGAATTCCACTTTCAATTCTAAGTCACAAAGTCCAGACGGTCTCTCTGTCGGCAAGACGGCATGCCCTAGTTATCTGCTTTTAAGACCATAATCACATTTGTTCAGCTACATTTTGCCTTCTGTCCACCTAAAAGGTCTGTTTATTGCATACTGTGGCCGTTTGAGTCAACAAATCTGATTTAGACCAGAGGATAATTGCATATGGTCCAAATTAACATCAGAGAAATGAACTTCAAATGGACCTATTGGTTAAAGAAAGACCTTGCATGCTGTTCATGTCAATATTAAACAAACAAGACTCAGAGCAAACCATATGGTTCTAGATGAGACTTCTAAGAATAAAACGTATGAATTATTTACACATACATATGTGACCCTGGACCACAAAACCAGTCATAAGGGTTAATTTTTTGAAATTGAGATTTATACATCATCTGAAAGCTGAATAAATAAGCTTTCCATTGATGTATGGTTTGTTATGATAGGACAATCTGGAATCTGAGGGTGCAAAAAAATCTAAATATTGAGAAAATCATCTTTAAAGTTGTCCAAATGAAGTTCTTAGCAATGCATATTACTAATCAAAAATTAAGTTTTAATATATTTACGTTAGGAAATGTGCAAAATATCTTCATGGAACATGATCTTTACTTAATATCCTAATGATTTTTGGCATAAAAGAAAAATCAATAATTTTGACCCATACAATGTATTTTTGGCTATTGCTACAAATATACCCCAGCGACTTAAGACTGCTTTTGTGCTCCAGGGTCACATATATGGTTGCCATTAAACTGTTTTTAAAAAAGAAGTAGACACTTACTCGGCAGATCCAGGAAGAATGCTGATGGAAGAAATGTGCGAACTGGAAAGAGAGGAAACGGAAGGAAACATTAGGATGATTATATTAACTGTATGATTTTTCCTACCCAGCATCCTTATGCAATAATCGCTGTATGTGCCATCGGGGAAAAGACGTCTCATTTAGTGTACATTTCACAAGTCACGTACACTGGTGAAAAACATGGTTTTTCATTTCCGGTAAAGGTCACGGGAAACGTCAGGAGTGTCAGGAAGTGGGCATCGGAGAGGAACTGGGGGCAGGGTGACTTTGCTGTCCCATAAACAAATTCAGACATGCTAGGAACGCTTGCTTACATAACACTAGCTGCCTGCTACTTGTTAGCACCCGTGTCAGGTTCTGGGAAAGGAACAAATAAGGCCTTGACTGATACAGCAGGTGTTCACAGGCCGGGCCACATCAGCACACAAACACACACGCAAATGAGCGTGTACAGGAACAGGACAAGCGTGAGGTCCCGTGTCATTTGGCGGCAGCTGTGCGGTCTATGGTACAATGTCTTGACCCCTTAAACTCTCTAGGCTGCTAGGAAGGCTTGTGTCCAACCCATGTGATCCCATGAAAAAGGAAAATCCTGACACCTGACACTTTCTAGAAACTACAGTCTAGTGCTAGGTCTGAGCGTCAAATGATTTCCTGATTTCTAGGATGTGAGCATTTATAAAAAGAAACGACCACCGAATCAGACCAGTTCACTTTTTTTGTTAAATCTGTCAGTTTTTCTGATTTTAAGATTTTTGAGATCTCTTTCCTCATTCATTCATTTGTAAAAAGCAACAACTTCATTTTAAAAGTATACCAAGTAACTTTTTCCACTACACTCCCCCCCCCCTAAAAGAATTAATAATATTTTAAATAAATTATAGTGTTCACTCACAACAAATAAGATATAATCACATGACCAGCTAATACTTCATTCTAATTCATGAAGAACCTTTAAAGGGGTCCTATTATGCTTTTTCACCTTTTTAATTTTAGTCAGTGTGTAGTGTGTATGTTTGGGCACGGACAGATGCCGAACGGCGCCACCGGTGTGCCTACACTCATAGAAAATAATGTATTTGAATTTTAAAGATGTGGCGTGGCGCGACGCTGCGCTTCTCGTCCGGTGCGCGACCGGCATTATAACCCCAATTTGCTATTGCATACACACTACACACTGACTAAAATTAAAAAAGTGAAAAAGCATAATAGGACCCCTATAATGTAGATCTATGGCACATTGAAATGGCATTGCCTATTTAAAAATAGCATTGCTATTACAAGAGCAAGTGTCATGGAGAAAGCAAATGGCTGCTGGGACAACTGGACAAGAGAAGCATTTTTTTTTTTTAAATGTTTTTTTTTGTGCTAGTTAGCACTGAAAAGTGCATCGCTCGATATCGCAAGAGAGAACAAAACGAGCCTTGTTTAAGACATCCTCAGTATCTTGCCCACACAGAGCTCTGGAGATCAGTTACAGTAATGCGTTCACACTGACCGTGCATTACTCAGCATGAAGCACTCTAATAAAGAACCTTCTGTAACATGCTTCCATTCATTTCTTCTGCAAGACCTCACCTGAACTCTGATGCAAATGATTCAGCCTGAGAAACATCAAAACTACAGATGCATGATATAGAGTCAGTTTGGCTGATACTGACGGAAAATATTTATGGTTGATAACTTATATGATTGAATTTAATGAAATAAAATGTATTTTGTTTTCATAATCTTTCATCAATGTCCCTCTTTATATATCAAGCATTACACAATGGGATAGTATATTTTTTTTTACCATGGGTTTCCAGTGTGACTGGATGGAGATCTGATTGCACTTAGTCACGCAAAAAATAACTTGTCACTTACATATTACATAAGAGCTTGGGTGAATTAAAATATTTCCATCATTTACAGGTTTCCTGCATTCCCTTCGTTTACTGAACCCTAAGTAAAGGGATTACAAGGGAAGAAAAGTAGAGAAACGTTTTATAGCTGTCTTTAGGAAGATAAATCAACAGTTCGACAATACAATTTCCCATAGATCTCCATTACTTTTTAATTGATTAGAATACGGAACTAACTTTCACTGTACTGTGTATCTTCTGATCACACTTGTTTTCTAGTGCAAATGTCTAAAGATTTATAAAATCAAGAGACATTTACCTGAAAAGCAAGAAAATTTTACTTAGAAACTGATTAAAATGAAGCCATTTAAACAAAAACAAGTATCTGTCAACGGCCTCAAAAAAATCTACTTAATTCAAGGTGAAAACATGTAGCTCATTGACAGACATTTGTTCTTTGTTTTAAACAAACTCAATTTTGTTCAGTTTCTCAGAAAACAAGACTTCAAATATCTTCATCTGCATTTAAGGCTGTTTAGATATTTGTATTAGAAAACAAGACGAAAACACCGAGGAAGATTTTTTTTTTTTTGCAATGCATGCAGAAATTAATACCTAATCACGATATTTTGAATTTAAGACTCTCTGTTCTGATTTAAGACCTTTTTTAAAACCCTGATATTGCTAGGAACACTGCTTTAATGAAAATGCATGCTAATGCTAGCTGTAAACGGAGCCAATATGTAATAACTCTCTGTGCCGACATAACCACACAAAATTGTACTAACCAATAGTATCACAGCCTAACATGCTTCATGTTGTCCTTAAAAATATTTTTCACAGGGCTATAGTGTGAATAATCAAGCAGCCAGAAATAAAGAGTGGACGGTAGTTCACATAGTTTCACTATGAGATCAGCTGAGGCTTTAAGAGGATTACAGACGGCTTCCTCTGACTCGGCACTTTATCTTATCAGCATGAGTGGCCAAAACACATACACACACACGGCACTCATTGGTTGTGAATTAAATGCTGTATCATGCAGTGATTAATCAGTTTCACAATTCTGCCCGAATTTCCATCTCTCATTTTCACCAAATAATCCTATTTCACTCATCAGCAGTGTTACGCAAGTTAGCAGGGCTTTCCGTCATGCGATCTGAGAGGCAGTGAGCCATCACATGCAGCCTTGGCCGAAAACCAATAAACAAGACATTCGGATGGGAACAAATCAATCCAGTTTCACCCAGAACGACAGCCTCTCTCGCAACACCCGCAGCTCTTTTCTACTGAATGTGGAAAGATGAGAGCTGTTCTCCTCTGAAACATTACCTGTGGAGAAGGACTTGACAAGCCATGTTGTTCGGTTTGGTTCTCGTCGACGAGCCGCTCTGGTTGTTTACGTTGGGCGTAAGGTTATCCTGACTGGGCACTTTGTGGTGCTAAAGTCTGGATGAGCAGGTCAAAGAGCAAACACAGGCTGCCGGCGCTCATTCTGCGGAGTCCTGTATGTGTTATTTGTCTGTATGTGGGACTTAGCACTCTGCTAAAAAAGTGTTGCAGTGGAAACGCTGGACCCTTACTTAAATACACAGCCGTCTGACGCAGCCTTGTCGCTAGTGCTCTGGGCCAATCGTCTCTCCATACACACACAGAGACAGAGCACTCCCTCTCCCAACTCAAACACCTGTTAGACATTTATATAACCCCGCTACTGTCCAAACAACAGACAGTCTTCACCCCTTACTGCACTGCTGTTTACAGTTAAGGGATCACTGACTGATGAAATCACACATAAATCCATGAATGCCATCACAGATGCCATCTTAAATGGATCGTTCAGCCAAAAATTGAAATTCTGTCATCATTCACTCACCCATGTCATTCAAAACTCATTGCTTCTGCTGTTCTGCTCACGAACAGCTTAAATTTTGGTCGGTTTCTCACACAAAACCATCATCTGACGGCTTCCTCTGACTCGGCACTTTATCTTATCAGCATGAGTGGCCAAAACACAGTATTATGTGAAGCATCCGTATAGTCTGTATTTTTTTAACTTATGTATAGGTAAACATTTATATATAGTATATTCATAGTCAAAATCTGTCAGTAGGTTAGCTGTGTATAGGTACAGTGTTTATGTGAAGCATCCGTATAGTCTGTATTTTTTTAACTTATGTATAGGTAAACATTTATATATATATATATAGTATATTTATAATCAAAATCAGTCAGTAGGTTAGTTGTGTATAGGTTTTTACTGCTTTACTGTATAGGTTTTTACTGTTTTACTTCATTGTTGTATGCCTGTATTTATGTAACACCGTGGTCCTGTGAGGCACGACATTTCGTTCCACTGTACGTCCCCACATGCAGCAGAATGACAATAAAGCTCAACTTGACTTGAACTTGACTTGATCTGGCTTCAGAAGGCTTGAAATAGCATTTCAAGTAATTTAGATCACTTATGGATTTTTTGAGACTTTGTGTCTTTTTTGAGCCTTTAATTCATTGTAATCACACAACCCTCTACATTGCGAATAAATCACTTGCATATGCGACTAAATCTTCACTCTGGGTGACTAAATGATGTCTAATGTTAGCCACTGGCTAATAAATTCTCAGATTTTACTCGCCAGTGTGTGAGTTGGAGGCTAAGTATAAGTTTAGCAGAGATATATTTTCACTCACAGTACACTCTGCCTGAGCGCTTCAGAGTTTCATCTGTCAAGCGATCTGTGCTATTTTTCAGTTCATCTGAATGGATGCGCAGCGCACCTGTATTTGACGTACCGTAAACTGAATGACCAAAGAAGCACAATCACCAGTCCTAAGTTCAGTTAAAATGACTAATATGCATTCATAAATGGTTATCAAGTTTAAATTCTAATTACTACATTTCTATCATTAAATAATACTTGATAATCATAATATCATATGTTAAGAGTGTACTTGTGTATATACAGTATATATCAATCAGTCTGGCGAGTAAACTAAACAATTTACTAGCTAATGGTGATTCAATTGCCAAGGTGTCTGTAGAGGGTTGTCACATAAAGAGGAGCACTGAACTGAAAACGTTTGGCCGAAAATTAATTTTCACTCTTTACATGAAAGAAGTCCGAGCTTTCAGATTCTGTCAATTTTATAATGGGTTTTATAATAGGGTTTTACTAA